ATAAAACAACCAGTTACACTCCAGTTATCTTAACTTTGATTGTGATTCAATCAACACCAGTTTAACCAGTTTAACCAGTTTAACGAGTGCTACTTCCTGTTTACTTCTTGTTCAACCCTCACGAAAATGACCTAAAACACTATTTTGATATGATGTATGACACTAAAACTTGACGTACGTACACACTAAACCGACATGACGTACGACACTAAAACCCGACATGACGTACGAAACTAAAACCTGACATGACGTACGAAACTAAAACTCGACATGACGTACGAAACTAAAACTCGACATGACGTACGAAACTAAAACTCGACATGACGTACGAAACTAAAACCCGATATGACGTACGAAACTAAAACTCGACATGACGTACGAAACTAAAACTCGACATGACGTACGAAACTACATTTCCGACATGACGTACGAAACTAAAACCTGATATGACGTACGACACTAAAACCCAACATGACGTACGAAACTAAAACCTGACATGACGTACGAAACTAAAACTCGACATGACGTACGAAACTAAAACTCGACATGACGTACGAAACTACATTTCCGACATGACTTACGAAACTAAAACCTGATATGACGTACGAAACTAAAACCCGACATGATGTATGAAACTAAAACTCGACATGACATACGACACTAAAACCCGATATGACGTACGAAACTAAAACCCGACATGACGTATAAAATTAAAACTCGACATGGTGTACGACACTAAATCTCGTCATGACGAAAGACACTAAATCTCGACATGTCGTACGAAACTTAATTTCCGACATGACGTAAGACACTAAATCTCCTTGTTTACAGTTTATTTGTTTTGTTGATTTTAAACGACTGAATTCTTCTGTGATGTTTTTATTTCTCATGTTTCCTCTCAGTTTGTTTCACTGTTTGGATCATTATATTATTGGTTGTTTCTTTTCTATATATTGGAACTTTAAATCACAGACTTCCTCCGGAAGGCTTCACAATAAAAGCCTTCGTACACTAAACTCCTGGAAGGCTTTTATTGTGAAGCCTATACCAGAAGTGCAGTATTGGAGGCAAGAAATCTGACAAACATTGAGGAAAAGAGGTGTGCTGGAGACGAATAAGCCAATCACGTCGTCCCACCAACAGCGGTACGCACAGCGGTTATTTCCTGTTTGTGTTTAACAAAATAAAACCCGTGTTCAAAAAATTGAATAACGGGGAAAAGTGACACGTTAAGTATTTGAAAAATAATTCAGCTCTGCAAATGTTTTTTTCAGCAGGTTTCCGTAAATTCAATTTTATGTTAGAATTTATCGTGTTTAAATTAATCCACATTTTAATAAATAGGACAATCATGAAGCCTAAAACGATAATAATAATAATACTGTTGATCGTCATGATAACCACATTAATAATAATAACCACTAAGTATTTGTTGACTCGTCTTAAATGAAACCATCAGAACAGATCGATGACTGAATCACGGCTGAAGGAAGGATTTTAAACTTTGTTTCTCTGTCTTTATCATATGTATTTTTTTTTCTCTGAGTGAAGTCTGAACGTCTGCAGCTGAAATTCATTTCAACAAAGTGATCAGAAAATAAAGACTGACAGTTACCATGGAGATGTTTTCTGGTTTCATGTTCACATCATCGGTTATAACAATCGCAGATACACTGGAATAAAAACTTGATTGAAAGGTTGAAAGGGTTCGACTGAGGAAGAACATGTTACAGCAGCTTCTATCAAGCGGCAACCTCCGGTGTTGAAAAATGAAGCCAATGTGGGAGTGCAAAATCCTGCAGTTCCTCGAGTGTCCACTAGAGGCTGGCTGCAGGAGCACAGGAAGTCACATACACACCCATTCAAAAAAGCAGAGATTAACATGTTTACAGCCTGGTTAAAAAAAAACAAATAGGTTTGATTAGTCGTCATCACACAACACACTGTAAGGGGGGTCAATTTTTTTAGGTTAGGTAGGTGCGTAGCTGACCTGATTGACAGGTGGGCGTGGTGTAACAGTTTGTCAAGTGGCTTAAAACCCGCCTCAGCTCCAGCTCTGAGCCTGTTGTTAGGCTGACTGAAAGTTAGGCTGAGACAGGATTTCCATCATGGTGGCTGGTCTGAGCCTCCAGACCTGCCTTTATGAGGGACAGGCGTCAATCCCAAACAGTCAGAGGTTTAGGGTATGTTTGAATGTACAGAAACAGGTTGAATGTTATTTCTGTGTACTGTAGGTGACACATTAAAGGGTTTCTAAACAAAAAATGAATAACATGAAATGCAATGCTTCGATTCATTATTTTATTTTTTACAAAAAAATGTATACAATCATGAAAAAACACGAGAGCTGTACAGAGAAATACTGCAGAGATTTTTTTTTTACAAACACCAAAACAACAGGTACTGCATAAAATACGTAGGTGGTCTCATCAGGCGGTTTGAGGCCCCGTGTCGGAGAGCAGGTTTAGTGCAAAACCCGGAAACGAGGGGGAAACTCATTAGTTCCGTTTCAGAAAGGGAGGTAACTCAAACCTGAGGAAGAAGCTCAGAGTCTGTTACTATGGTAACCAGTTGCGTAACCAGTCCCTGAGTCTGTGAACCTAACGTGGTCGGGAGCAGGTTTTCTTCAATGAACCCCGAGTTTCTCACCGTCTCCTCTTCTGCATTTTAGTGGAGATTCACGGTCTGTCTGAATTCCAGGTTGTTTGAAAAAGTCTGTAAGGCAAAGCTACGTCATAAAACAGACTTGTTTGTTGAACATGGCATGTCCTACAGCTGAGGACCCTATGGATGAAGGGGCTGCGTTACCCCACAGGGAGTTAACTTACATTGACATTGGGAGAGGATTTAAAGACCTCGGCTTGATGTGTTATCATTTCCAGGTGACCATTTTAGCATGACCGCTCTTTTTCACACTCTGTTGTATATCTGCATGATTCTATCCCGCCTCACATCAACCACCACCACAACTTCCTCTTTACAGCCTACAAATACAAAAGTAACTTAAATGTCACAATTCACCCAAATAAAGCTAATGAACATTGAGATACTCAATCAATGATTTTCACCCTAATATATAAAATATATGATTCAAATAAGGTACCAACACCTCCTTTCTGAATCAGACCCTGGGTGTCCTCGGACAGCGTGCTGCTTCTTTAGGTACTTTAGTTTACGTTGTAGTTACAGTCGTAGGTACAGTTGTAATTATGATCATTAAAGGTCACATATGATTCAAAATACTCTTCTCCATGTTCCTCTAACTCTAATATGTGTCTCTAGTCTGTCTACAAACCCCCCAATGATGAGAAAAGTCCATCCTCTCCGTCTTTTGCCTGCTCCACTTTTCAGAAAATGTGTGCTCAAACAGGCCGTTTGGAGATTTTCCCTTCATGACATCACAAAGGGCAGTAGCCCCTCCCCAGGTGGGTGACACTCCCACAGCCAGGGGTTTGTTCTGCCCTCTGAGTCTGCCTTCTCACAGTAAACAATAGGACATGGAGCGAGAAAGACCGGAGTACACCCGAGCCCTTCCAGAGAGGGGGCGTGGTCAGACACAGCTCATTTACATATTTAAAGGTACAGACACAGAAACAGCCTGTTCTGAGCAGGGCAGAGTGGATTTAGAACAAGAAACTTCACACACATGTTTTGAGGAGCTCTGAGACTTATTTATACTGAAGAAGAGGAGGATATGAGACCTTTATGGGTTATAATAACTGTTATTAAAGGTACAGTCGCAGATACGGTCATTAAAATTACAGCTATGGTTTCAGTTGTAGTTACAGATGATGTCGTTGCTACCGTCACCGTGGAGTCGTCCTCTGGTGTCGGAGGACCCGGATTGTGGCCATCGTGGTCTGTGTTAGCAGCTGGGTCACCTGATCCAAACTGAGACAGGCGACCTTCTCTCCGTTCACCTCAACGATCTCGTCTCCGACTGCCAGCAGGCCGGTATACAACTTCTGAGTACTGCAGTCCACCATGTCCTCCACGTACACACCTGCATGAAAAACAAATTCCTTAAGGAAGGTTCTAGGTTCTACTTCTATGATGAAGTACTAGATCTGGGGCAATAGTATGATTAGGATTTAGATCTAACAGTCGATCAAAAAAAAATTTAATTACAATTTCTTAGCTGCTTCCTGTCTGGATGATCTGTGTTACTGGCCCTTTAAGAAAAAGGCCTTTGCAGTAGTTGTAGTTTTTGCTGTAGTATTTTGTAGTTTTTGCCGTACCAGAGTCGGGTCGTCCTCTCCCTCTACTGATGACGAATCCGAAGGTTCGATTGTTCAATCGACTGATTTCTAACAGAATTGTTCCGTCAGAACAAACCCGAAGAACCCGACCGACAGAACGGACAGACGAGGGACAACCAACGTCCTCGATGCTGACGCACCTCTTTAGACACCTGAGAGTGAGACAGGTTGAGAGAGAGAGAGAGAGAGAGAGAGAGAGAGAGAGACAGGCACAGTGAGTAGAGAATCTCTGATCAGGTGTTTAATGTTTCTCTCGTTTAAATCATTGATTAACTTGTATTACTGATCAGCAGCTGGTCTGTAGTCAGCAGATCGATCCTTCTTCTTCTTCTGCTCGGACCTCAAACTCTGGACTGACGATGACTTTCTCATTTGCAAGAGGGGCGCCCCCTGCAGGACAGACAGGATACAGACATTAAGAGGTCATATTCTGCCCTTTTTGGGGTTCATATATTTAATCTATGTACCTACTAAAGTATGTTCACAATAACTAAAGTTATAAAAAGTGTCTGTTTTCATGAACTGCCGCTCCGCGCACCGGCTCTCTTCTGACTCTCTCTCTAAGGCTCTGAAGTGCCCACGTTCAGAGTCCCCACGTGTGCCAAGTCTGATCTGATTGGTCGGCCTGTCGGCTCTGCCGTAATTGGTCAGTCGCTCAGCACAGTTCTCGGAAATGTCATGCCCCTTTTACCATATTGGGAATGCAGCCACTTTGGCTCCGAGGGGAGCATAAACATTAGCACCTTAGCACTACTGTGCTACTGAA